ACAAATGGAATATTGCTGTGATATATAGGCCAGAGCTTCTCAATCATTTCTTTCTTGGATTGACAGAGCTCAAAAGCATTTATATGTAGGTGGGTAATTATTTTCCACCCTACAAATCATCTCTCACAGGTACAACGTCACTACTTTATCGCTATTTCCAAGGAAAATGTTTTGATGAGCTCTACATTCTATAGTTCCACCAGTTCAGACCTTAACAACTAAGACCTGTGATGCCATATACACTGGTGTGAACCATCATTATTCCTTTCATATTCTATTGGTAAGGAGGAAGTTCCATTTGGACAGCTTCTTATCAAAAGTTGCTACTTTATAGAACTGACTCCTGAGACGATGCTTCCCTAAACACTTAATCTCTTCAAGTCTGTGGTTAACAGATCTGCATATACCCATAAGCTGCATCCATAAAACAACCTCATTTAGTAATTATCTTCCTTGAGTGGCTCTTGAGTCTTGTATTGGGTGAGCACTTTGTCAAAACGGCAGTGTTTTAAAACAGAAAAATGTCTATATTTCAAATTTATTGTATAAGGTTAATTTCAAGAAATTAATGTACATTGTTAATATTTTGTGACTTTTTAGCTTGAAAAGTTGTACTTCACTGCATCTGGGAAGAGATGTGTACAAATCCTTCGCCATTATTACAGATATAAAATACAATTCTCTGCGGTGGAACACCTATAACAAATTCATCAAGTGAATGAAGCATGTATGGATTCTAATAATAAATTATTTTCTTTAGTTCTATTTATATTTGCTTGATCATATTTAAGTAAGTGCTCTGAGTTGACTAATCTTTCAATGCAGCAACACCTTCATCAACCAGACTTTTGTGTTATATGCAATCTATGGCATGAGGTTATGTCATGCTGAAAAATCTCACTTTCATTCAAGTCTGGTATCCAAATAGCCCTTCAGCAAGTTGATGTATTTGGCACTATTCATGCTGCTGTCAATTTTAACAGACTTTCTTGAACTTTCACTTTTTATGTATCCCCAAAGCATCAGACACTTATCCCCAAACTTCACTGTTTTTGTCATGTAATGTGTCTCTTTCTGATTTCCTAAAGGTTTTCTGACAAATTCTTACTTATTAGAATTCAGTTCCATCTTAGTTGCATCATTGAATGTTATATATATTTGAATTCTATAGTTCATACCACTTAACCCAACTTAATTTTGCCTAAAAATGCTTTATGTTTAATGCTGATTCCTAAGATCAAATGCTCCACTTTATTTCATCTTCTAATAGGATGCAGGTAGTGGTATCAACTGATACTAAATTAGATGTTACATTCTTTCATCACTTGTCTTGCAGTTTTCTTTGGCTTAACTTTTGCTATTTTGATCAGTTTCCATATTATCCTATGAGAACAATTATATCTTGGTCATTGTGAAATACTTCCATTGCCATGAAACTTCAGAAGTTCTGAAATGCTGCTTATAGAAAAACTTACTTAGCTTATATTTTAACCATCTTCACTATCTTCATCCTCATTTCTTCTGAAATCTTCACTATGATTTTCAACAAAAAAAGAATGTAGGAACTCAATGTAAGGATTTTCACTATATTTTTACAGTATTGTATATATACACATACTGGTCACTTAATTAAGTGGACATGAACAAATGCACTTTTATACAAATTCCTAATCAGCCAATGATGTGGTACCAATTTAATGAATACAGGCATTTAAACATGATCATGATGACCTGCTGAGTTTTATTTAAACAATTGGTATAGGGAAAAAGGTGCATGAAATAAAATTCAGCAATTTGCCATATTTTGAACTATTATAAATTTTAATGGTTGCTGTTTATAAGTGGATGTTTCATATCGTGCAGAATAAGAGCATAGACCCAGATTTTGAAAAAGTGCTTCCAGAACATCATCAAATCCATGCCAAGAAGTGAGATATTCTAAAGGCAGAAGGAATTCAACCCACTACTAGAAGTTTATACCTGATAAAGTCACTGCATGTGTGCATATATATATATATATATATATATACTCACCAGTCACCTTATATTTACCTAGATAGAGTGCCTGGTGTATGTGTGGTGTGTGTATATATATATATATGCACATTACTATCTATGTATATGGGTGTGTGTATATATATATATATATATATATATATATACATTACTATCTATGTATATGGGTGTGTGTATATATATATATATATATGCACATTACTATCTATGTATGTGGGTGTGTGTATATATATATATATATATATATATACACACACACACACACACACTTGACTGAGAAATACTATGGTGAAGGTATTAGAATAATTGTCATTATCAATATAATCCATGGAAGTATGTATCATCCTGCTGTTCTTGAGCCGTCTGTGTTGATTGATATGCATATACCATTATTATGTGTACAGTTTCATGTCAAATTTCCTATCTTTGAGCAAAATAATAAGCTCTGAAAATAGGCATGAATGGAATATTCATTCAGTGCCTTTTTTCATGTAATGTTTTATAGATCAAGACTCATTACTGCTCATTCTGTTTCTTCTACTTGTATTTTCTTTGTTGTTCAAAATTCCACATTTCAATGAATAAATCTTTATCGTTTTCAGTCTGCTTTGTCTCATTCACAAAGTAGACAGCTTTGGAAAAATAAAAAATATAAATTTAAGAAAGGGAAAAATTTGAACCATAGAGATAGAGGTTTTAAAAGAGAAATTTGCAGAGAGATAGGAAATGTCTGTGTTTTAAGGTTAACTGAAGTAAAATATAAAAAACATTTGTCATTGTTGTTTTCTTATAGAAGAAAAAGGATGAATTATAGATGGACTTTTAGCACATGTAAAATGAATAAAAAAAGTTTTTATGTCATGTTAAATTGAAAGTATTTAGTTTCTCTTTTCTTTCAAAGTTAGATTTATCTTCATGTAAATATTACATGAATTTTCCCTAAAACTGAAATTTCTTTTTCTTTTATTCCTTTATACATATTTTCCTAAAATGGGGACATGTCCTTGAGTTATAACAAGCAAACACATTCTAATGAATACATTATTTAAATGTAAATGAAATAATGAAAAAGAAAATAAAGGGAACAGAGTATGTAAATTTAATTTTAGAAAGAAAACATTGATGAGATAAAAAAAACTAAAAAAAAAACAAAATAGAACTAAATAACTAAATAAGGTAAGCTTACATTTCATATTTCCTAATGGTGACACTTGCAAGAAATAACAAGTTGTCATATTGTTAGTATTACAGTTCTAATTTTTATTTGGTAATCCTGAATACAACTGCTAAATTAAAAATAAAATCTCAATAAGGTTCAAGAAAAATTCATATTTCAATTTGTATTTTCTCTATGTACATTCTGTTTCTATTTTTATCATCACAATCATCATTATCAATAACATGATGGTTTCATACTCATTATATCAATGAAACTATTTTTGAAATCACCTCTAGGGGAGGAGAATTTATCAGGGACCACTGAGGCTGTATAATATTGTAATGGAAAATGTTAGACAAAAATGTTCTGGGAAGAAACATCATATATAATTTACTAGTGTACATCATCATCTTCCTATAATTAATCCCTGAAGGTTTAATGTTCCATAGCTAAATAATCTTGAAAATATTGAATCCATATAGATGTATATTTAGATCTTTGGCAATCATAACTGTTCATCTTCTACAAATTCTAAATTATCTTTTTCTACATAAGTAAATGAAAATTTCATTTAACCAATCAGTGAGATATAATATAGTTTTACATTTAATGCAGAACTGTTTCAAAATTTAAAATTTTGTTGGTTAATATAGTTACCATTGCATTGGACAGTGTGAAGGAGGAAGAGTAGAAGGTAGAAAGTAATATTAATACAGTAGATATGTACTGAAAGTTTTTAAAAAATTGCTTGAGGGTAGTTAGTCAAGCTGTAAACATTAGGGAATGGTATGAACTTCACTGTTAGTAGACCTGTTCTTTGTGTTCGCAGTTTATTACATTTACTTACTCACAAATAACTTTAGAGAAGATAAGAATTCATCTCTTCTCCCCCAGCTATGAGTTAAATAGTAGTACTTGTAATAATTTTTATCTTCAAAAAACTGTTAATGCAATATTAACTTATAAAAAAAAATGGTTCTTATAATCCAAAATATATTTCAGCTTTAAATAACCCACAAAAGGGTTGATAAACTATGAAAAACAAATCAATCAACAATCTGGGTCCCCGGCATCCAAACAAAATCATGATACTTGATGGAAGATACATTATATATCTCTGATGTTTCTTTAGTTGAGTTTGTTAGATCATGGTGATTACATTTTTTGATCATGAGAGAAATATATGTATTTATGATATCTGTACTCTGTACCTCTCTTTGGACAAAGTTGACTTGTTATGGTTGAGTTGCTAATAAACTTTTGATGTTAATAGATGATTATTCTAATATTTTAATTATTTAGCTATATCTAACCTGTAAAATTTTCTTTTGCATAGAATATTATTTCTTTGTTGAAATAAAATTTACAGACCCATAGGCTTCCAATGCATCTTGGTTTGGCTGGGTCTGTTCTGATGATACAAGCTATAAGTAGTCAGTTTTTTTATGTGTGTGAGCCCTGAAGTTTAATGTATGTTGAGTTATGAAAACATTTTATTATACAATAAAACTAAACTCATAATAAACACTGAAAAGTATCCTGGTTTGAGGCTTAGAAATTACTAAACATGTATATTCAAAAAATAAAAGACAATATCAGCACATTAGTAACTTCATTAGTACCCTAGCATTAGAATGTTTAATGCCAGAAGTTTTTATCTTATATTCACAGAATCTTGCAGTTGGTCTTTCTTTAATTGTTAATTGTTTTGAAATTGAGATTTAAAGCTCACCACTCGTCCAACCTGTCAGTTCAGAAGCACCTCCACCGTTAGCATGAGTAGCAAGATTGTATCCATTGCTGGCTTGCTAGGCCTGCTGCATAGCTTACAGCCCCTGGTATTCCCCAGCAATCACTCATCTCAGTACTGGCCAATCTCAGTGTTGCTTAACTTCAGGAATTGAATGAGAACCAATGTTTCAATATGATATGGTCGTAAAGTTATTCTATATAATTTTATCATGCTTGCTGATGTATTCACACATTTTTGCTACATGTGAATAAGAAGTTGAAAAAAAAAGAAGAGTACTATAATTAGACTTTGTCAAAGTGAGTGAAAAAAGAGGATTTTCTCTTGCATTCAGACATTTGCATTTATGAAACTAGAAGTAACTTATTGAGATAATAACTCATGGTGCTGAAAAGTTCTCAGTGTGCCTCACTTCCCAATATTGTTTCAGTGGGGAAACATCTGAATCTGGATTTTCACAAGTGAGTTGGGCTGTGAACTTCTCAGCACCCACACATAATTTAATTCTTTGTCATCCATGCAGATGAAAGCAAATGTTGATTACTCTTCTCATGTTATAACTTCAAAATGATGAATGCTGAAATCACCAACCATGAATTGAATTCTGGAAATATGTCTGTTTTTAAGCATTTATATTTTGTGTTTTCCTATTACACACACACACATGTATGTGTATATATATATATATATATATATATATATATATATATATATATATATATATATAGATGATTTCTTTTTCTAAATCCGTTTATCAATTGTACCATTTGAAAACTGACTCTTTCAAGTATTGAAGATTTTTCCCTTGATGTTTAGCTTTTACATAAAGTGTATGAACAAAAGTGATCTTCAGTGACACTTTTGAACCTAGCTGAGACTTGTAGGTAGATTAAAGGACTTTTCAGCTCTTTTGTCTTCCCAGTTAAAGTGATGAGAGGGGAATATATATGGATTTTTTTCACATGAACAGAGGTTATATGCTTCTAATATGATGCAATACTTAAGGCATTCACAATAAAGGATACTAAAATTTTGTTGGATTTATGATTTAAAGTTGTCCTCTGTTATATTATTTCATTTTAACCCTCTCAAAATATATGGGATGAAATTTTTAAAAAATTATACTTTAAAGAATAAAGAATGTCTTCTCTTTTTAAGTTTAGTAAACCCTACAGAAAAATGTTCTTTTCTAAAGATATGTTTGCTGTTTATACATGTAAAAAGAAATTCTGATATTTTGTCTGTAGTAACAATTAAATCTTTATAAACCCTTTAGAATAATAATATCCTCAGTCACAGTATTATTGGCCCTTAAGGTTGCTAATAAAATGCTTCTCCATAACTATCATGAGTAAGACCATAAATTAAACAAGTCCTTAAAATAGAAACAATGAAGTAAATAAAAATTAAAAATCATAATAATGCTTCATCTTGAAATTAATGGACAAACAATTTGCTCAGCTCTTTCATTAATATCTACTCTTCCATCTTTTTCTATGTGCTGTGCTCCTTTAGGACATAGGCGATCATGGCTCTCCACAACTTCCTGTTCTTAATAGGTCTTAGTAAATTTGGTCTCTGTGCTATCTCTCCTAATCCCTGTTCTGCCAACAATCTATACAAGCTTGTTAAGTAGGTTATTCACTGATTTCATCTGTTCCTCTAGTCTTCAGTATATCCAGTGGTTACCAAATTCACCAAGCCCTCTTTCTTCATTATGTACCCAAGAAATTTAAACTCTTTCTGATTTTAAGTATAAGTGTCTGTTTTGTTTCCATTTTCTGTAAAACTTCCACACTTCTTTTGACCTTTTTCATCATTTACTGCCATATAGGAAAGTCAATATTACATAACAGTTCAGTACTTTTCTTTGTTTCTAATGAAGTGTTCCTGTTTCTTAAGATTGGAAAGCATCATCCAATGTGTCTTTAGATTTTAGTGCTATCTTATATTTTCTTACAGCTAAGGGCTTCTTTTCAGAAAGACTGCTTGGAGAATTTAATGCTCACAGGACATACTGAAGACAAGAGGAGCAGAGGGAAACAGTAAATAACTTACCTAATGAGTTTGTGAGGACTGGAAGGGATGGTAAGTGAACAAAAGAGCTACAAAAGGCAAGAAGCTGTGGAGAGCCATGACTGACTACATCTTGAAGAGACACAGCTCATGAAAAGAGAAACTGGAAAATTATTTGATTGTCGAGAGAAGCTATATGATACGGTGCCAGAGATGGTGTTTTTAAAGTCATCTTTGTAAAAAAATTATTTAATGCTTCCTTTATCTGAAGAGGATTTTCCTTTTTGTAAGGTTACTGAACCAATGAGCTAGTTAAACAGAAAGTTGAAAATCATTCAAATGGATCAATGTTCTTACACCCAGACTGATTCAGAACCTACTTTAATGCAACATGAAATGCATTTTCATCTACTTCACTCACACGTTTTCAACAACAAAAACTGTCAAACTAAAAATATCAGCTCCTTTTTTGTATTCTTCATCAACTGGCAGGTTTTGAAATCTTTTCTCTTGTGCATTTTCTTATTTTTCTTTCTTTGACCAAGTTTTTTTCCACCCTAATTAGCTATTTTCTCTGAACCTTGGTCTTTTTTATCAACTTGTTCTAAATGCTTCAGTAATGACTTTTATTCAGCTCTTGACACAAAGCCATTCTGAAGTTTCCCCCTTTTTTACATCATAGTTATTATTAATTTTTTCTTACATTTTGTCTGGTACAAAGTAATAATGAAAAGTTTGTCTGGAACCCTGTTAAATACTTCTTTTTACTCTGCTATATATACACACAGACTCACACATTTGTACATATCTTTCTCTATTTCACACACACACACACATATATATATATATATATATATATATATATATATATACACACACACACACACACTTTCAAGTATGGGCTTTGGACATGCATCTGAATATAGGCAGGCTAGGAAATCATTTTTTGATGATAATAATAAACTGTTTGTGTTTCAATCCTCACTGAAATTTTGTAATTGTAGTGTCAAAACAATCTGTTTGAATTAAAATTTAGAATGAATAAAAAAAAACAAAAAAAAAAACTTTTTTTTTTTAGAAATATCTCATGTTGTATTTTCATAATTGTCAGTAAAAAAAAGTAAAAATCTTTATGTAAAATTTCCAGTGACATAAGTTCTCTGAGAAACAGTTTATCATCACTACACTAGAATGCTGATCATTTTGACTCAATGTGATATAGTGACAATATGATTTCCCACACAGCCATAATGTTTAAATTGGAACAACCTACCAAATACAGAGTTCTTTCTAAAACTATTCAACTTTTATAATGAAAAAGAATAAAAATTGATAAAAAGAATATATAGATTTCTATAGAAGTATGATCAAGTAGGTATACACCTACAACAATGTATTCCTCTCAGCAGTTATTGTATAACTTTAAAAATTAATGTATTGATGTTTAGGGTAGTCTGCCTCAAAATGCCAAGGCTGATTTCATTATATATTCAAAAGTCTAAGTGTGGAGTTTTAGAAATGTTATTTAAGTAAAAACTGGGAAAACATGGTTGCCAAGGAATATTTTGTTAATCCATGAAATGCTATATTTTGTTGCTATGATTCCATTATATTTTATTTTGTATCTTTTAAAATGGCTCATACCAATGTGAATTTCCTTTTTCCATGATAGCTTGGTTATAATTAATAACATTTATAAAGCAATTGATATTATCAGTTCTAATATTACAAATTCATCCCATTATTTCAAAACTATTTCATTTAATTTGTAACTTAAAAGAGTTCTTTTCTCATCATAATCTTTAATTTTTTAAATGACAAAAGGCTTAAGAGCAAGATTTAAAATGAAAATCAAAAATATTTATCCTTCATTCTAATTGCTAAATCAAATTCAGAAGCATACTTTTAAAACACATTAAAAGTGAAATATAATAATTTATATTTCTTAGTCTACTTCCACTTGTCAAAAGATATAATATTGTTACAATATGAAAAGTAGTATTTCTATAAATTTATTGATAATTAAAATTGCTTTCTAACATTGCAGTAAAAATTAGAACTGATTTATTCAAACTAGTGACCTTGGCCATTATACTCTCCAGTCTTCCTCATGTCTTTGTAATATTCATTCATGTTCTTAGAATTAGAGATTAAACCCTTTATTCAAACCATGAGTGATAGACTGTTCTTATTCTGCTCAACATTTGAGGAAATGTTTTGTATTAATTAATTATTCTTAATTTATAATTGTGATTCCCCCTTCTGCTCAGTCTACTGAACCAGGGAAACTGCTAGCATGTAATCAATGCTTATATCCACAAGACTTTTGTCTCATAGAATAATCAGGTGGTGGAATTTTAGTAGTTTAACTCTTTAGCATTGAACACACCCAAACCCACCTCATACATATTGGCTCTAAATGTTCAAGATTCTGAAACCCACCCCATGTATATTCTAATATATGATGACATCATTGAAAATAATGCAGGAAATTACACAGTGAATCTTTGAGAGCTGATATTTCAGGATGAGTTTGAATGTTAAAGGGTTAAACATGACATTTGCTTTTTTATGATCAATGGCTCCTATATGGTGCTCAATTCAATTCTATGCTTATCAGAGCCAAACATGTATGCTGATTCTCTCAATCTTCTTATTCTGCAATATGGTCCTTTATCTATTATTAATAATGGATATCTACCTAGCCAAAACTTTGTGACTAAAAGAACCAAGATGAGGACATCAGTTCAAATAAATGTATAATAATGATAATTTATCATCTTTGAAATTCAAACATAAACTGATGAAGGTGAATTAACTTAGTTGATAGTATTAATGGAATTTCTGTTCTGTACATAAAATTACATCAATAAATAGGATAAGTTCTCTATTGTTATTAATCTACACTATTCCTACCAGAGACATTGTATGAACACACTTCTTAATATAATTGTAGAAACAGTTTAATCATTAGACAATTGATTAATTACGTTTTCACATAATTAACCTCCTTTCAAATATTCTTTCAAATACCAAATATAATGACAAAAATTTCAACTCTTATTTCTATTCCCTGTCTATTTTGCATATTTTAAATTTTGCTTCATTATGAAAAGCATGAACTACAGTTTATATTACCTTTAATCATGAAACTTTTTATTATTCTCATTTT